ATGTCGTGCAGATAATGAAATGATTCGATTAATTCTCGCAACTGCGGTTCCGGGTTCCCGATCCCGGGGAAGTTTGCATCGGGTCGGGGCGTGCGGGTGCGGCTGCCGGCGGGGGCGGGGGCGTCGACAAATTATAAGGAATCGAGTGAGGAACGGTCCGGGAACAACAAGTGGATTAAAGAATAGCTTTCAGTTAATCTCGTTATATTGAAAGTGTGTAACAGTGATCTGAACATCTCCCGGCAGCGGGGAGTCGCCATGACGACGCCTAACCAATCGATTTCTCATTCTCCATTGTGTCTCTTCCAACCGGCGGCTGCACTTTACGCACTCCCTCCCGGAGCCCCACCTTCTCCGGACGCGTGTCGCGGGTTGCGTCACGGAAAAGCCATGTATACATCGATTTATTCTCATCGCTACACTGAAAATAAAGATTGGTAGAATTTACCAAAATGCATTTGGATATTTTGAAATTAAATGAGAATGTGAGAAACAAGGATGGCCGATCGGTAATCTTCCGATTTGGACTCCAATGCTACACTGAAAAAAAAGATTGGTAGAATTTACCATTCCTTCACCCTGTATTTCACACAGCATCAATTCAGAGTCAATTCTGCCAGAAGAAAGGGAAACGTTACTATATACTGGCACAGGTATTTACCTTTCCTTATACTGGTACAGGTATTTACCATTCCTTCACGCTGTATTTCACACAGCGTGTATTTCACAAATTCTACTAATCTTCAAATCGATTCTGCCAGAGGAATGATTACCTGTGCCAGTATATAATAACGTTTACCTTTCTTCTGGCAGAATTGACTCTGAATTGACGCTGTGTGAAATACAGGGTGAAGGAATGGTAAATTCTACCAATCTTTTTTTTTTCAGTGTAGCATTGGAGTCCAAATCGGAAGATCACCAATCGGCCATACTTGATTCTCACATTCTCATTTAATTTTAAAATATTCAAATCCATTTTGCTCTCCATGTCGACATTCTTAATTTACAATCTACCTTATTTTGCTATCTCGCCCAAAAACCTGTCGACATTGAAACATCCAAACCACATATCTCGTTTGTGACGTCTCCGACCCTGTTTTATTTTTTGAAAGCGGAATAAATGGAAAATAAGTTTTTTCAAAATTCGCCTCATACCAAGAGAAAACAAGCAGTGAACTCAAACACAATGTGTTGATATAAGGCGTGTCATTGACTCGTATATAATAACCTCATTAGTTTTTATTCACAGAGATTTAATATATTGCTAAGAATCATATGACATGAAGGAATTCACGATCCAACACTACGAGGTCAACCACGCACCTCGACGAGATCGTGTATTGTGAACGTAGAAAGCCATTCGAAGGAGTGGCTACTGTGTAATTTAAGCCAAAAAAGAAGAAATTCTCTCGAACTCCTGGAAAGTAAAGTCGATTCAAAGGTATGTTGGGGCTGTATTGCAATTATCGGCTCTCAGGAAATTACCACGCAGCTAAAATTGGTAGCATAAGTGTCCGAGTGCTTAAAATAATCGTGTGTAAGAAACTAAGGCATTAAACTATCAAATCAATTTATTTTCAATAATATAACAGGATTTACTATCCGTGATTTAGCTATAATAGCCTCCAAAAACTTTTGAATCGCATTTATTTTTCAGGATTTAGTTCAAAAATCTAAAAACTACTGGATTGTGGCAGATAAAATAATTTAAGCTTGTCTCCAGGTCAAAATTCTTGCAGGGAGGCCCTCTGCAAGAGACAATTTTTTTTTTTGTAATTTTGCTCCAATTTTAGCTCCGTCTCATAATTGAGTTGCTTGCAAAATTCTGAGGCTGAGTCTCGCACACAGTTGGCACATTGATCAGTTTGCTGACTTGGAAAAGCGGGAGTTCAACTCATGACTTTGAAATTTTTGCACAAATGCACACTCTGTATGGATTATTCTCATTTTAATTGATGAGAAAAAATATGTAGTAAAGGAAAATGTAATGTGCGTTTTGTAAATATTATGGTGATTCCGTACAAACTTAAGGATTTTCAAAGCACACGAATTTCTACACAATCTCTTATAGCATTTTATAGCCGATGGCGAAAAAGCAACAGCCAGGCGATAAAGTGAAAAGCCTGGCGACTGAAACTATAGCCCGGCTGTTTAATTTTTTATCGCTTCGTGTAGCCCGGCCGTATGATTTTTTCCACTTTCTACAGCCAGCTATATGATTTTCTATCGCCTTCTTCAGTCGGCTATGAGAAATTCTATGGTATTTTGAAACGCAGCTCCTATCGCCAATTTTTACCAGGGATAGGCCAGGCATAGCTTCCTTTAGGTCTCGTGCTCCATAAATACGGACGCATATTTCCTTTGGATCTAATTCACTTGCACGTGGTTTCTTTTTAGCATAAATGCGTTCAACTTACATTCCACCCTGCTAAAAATGACGAGTAGGCTATTCAGAATTTGCCAACTCACATGAGTAGAACTTCCTACTTATATGAGTAGAGATCCTATATATCTATATGAGAAGAAATACTACTCATATCACTAGAATATTCCACTCATAAGAGTAGAAAAGTTCAACTCATATGAATTAAATTTTTTTCATTTTTCAGAAGTGCCATTTCTGACCAGGAGACGCCACCATACCATATAAATTTGAAAAATAAAAACATTTTGTTCTTATGATTTTTTTGATGCGGTGACTAGTTTCCGAGATATTGGACACGGTAGATTCAAGTCATATGAGTTGAAATCTCTATTCATAGAAGTTGGCGGAAACTGGATAGAGAAATTCTGCTTACATAAGTTAAATCCTATGCATTTAAGGTGAAATTATATTCATATGAATTGAAATTCTATTCATATGACTTTGATTTTCTACTCATTTGTACTCACCATTTTTAGCAGGGACGGGTGACCCTTGTAATAGCGGATTGCGGGCTAATTTGTTTTCAGGTGTTAAGACTCTCGGAAAATCTGAGCGTGCAAGTGCAGTTTACGACGCAACAGGTTGTGCCTCCGTTTCGCAATCTCCGCCTTGTCCTGTTGCGTCGGCAAAACGCTCCGCCGTTCGTGGATCGGTTGTTTTCAAATGGAACAAGTCAATTTTTGCATGAGCCTTGAGTCGAATACAACGACATGTTAACTAAAACTCGTCAAGAAATGGCCCTGGTCCCTTTTGAAAACAACTGATTCCGTTGTAGCAGATGCTCATCGATGGTGAACTTAGAAAATCCTGCATTTTAGAATGCAAAGTTCCGAGTCACCTTCTGCTGAACATCATCGTTATCTAACGCGCATAGAGCCAGGATTGCAATTTTTCATGAAAAATAATATTTTGAAATTTCACGTGAAATATTTCATGAAATTTCAGAAATTTATGAAAAATTTTGAAAAATACCAGTTCCTTTTCATGTTTCGCAAAACGTAAAAATTGTGTCTGTCTTCTATTTTTGTGTATTCGAGTGCCGGTTGCGAACTCTAACCCCTGAAAAATATGACATTTTTCACAGTCTCGTGAAATTTCATGAAATATTCCACGGAATTTTCAAATCTTTCGTATTTTTCATTTCACGCCTGCAACCCTGGATAGAGCACATATTTTTAGGAAATTTAGATCACAAATATATGTTCTAGTGGCGTGCTGTCCTTTCCGACGATTCAATATTAATCTGCCGTTTAAACCGATGGAAAGATTGATCATTGTCGTCTCCCTCGCGGAAAAACGTAACTGCATTTCAATGTTGCCACATTGCCCCTCGCGAATTGTACTCTTACCGGGAGAACCTTAGGCATCTCTGACTAGATATTTCTGTGATTTTACTTTTGATCTCATGCGAAAATCGGAAAAATGTTGGACAAAAACTACTTGGGAACATTCTTGTGAAAATTGGATTTTTTAAATCAATTTTGCGACTTCGGAATAGAGTTACGTTCCTCCGTCCAGGAAACGACGTTATATGGATTACATTTTGTAATAAGGAACCACCGTTTCTGGCCCATTTTAGAAACAACATACATGCCGATAGTTTCCCTATGAAGATATGTGCTTTTATGGGAGAGTCAGAGATAGTGGTTCCTTATTGCAAAATGTAATCCATGTCAGAATGTTTGTGACGGAAACAATAATAAAAGATTACTTAAACTAACTTCATATGGGATCAGTAGTCAATTAAGCACACTTCCCTATTAATGAGTTCACGAGGTGGCGATGCTAAAAAAATTATGAAACTAGAATTTGACCGTTTGAACGTGTTTTAAAAGATCGATCTTTATAGAGACATAGGCTCAATTAGAATCACTCAGAGCCGATAATTTATATTAGATTTTTAAATTGAGGAAGAACAGCATTCCCAGCCTACGCGAGTATCGTCATGTGTTGATACGACACTTGGTCGCATCGCAAGTAGTACATATTTTTCAACGGAAAAATCGCGATATTTAATTTATGTTTACGATTTTTTGACGATAAAATTGCTAGGATCATCAACATCTCAGCAATTATCCTCAATCTTGTCGCTATTTTATCCCCACATATTCGCGTTTGATAAAACCAAAATTTTGTCACAATTTTTTGCTCGATAATGTTGCGATAAATAGCCGTCAATGAAATCGCGATTTCATCGCAACTTCATTCGATGAAATCGCAAATAATCGCAACTTTTATATCCGATAGTATTTCAATAAATCGACGTCGATAAAATTGCGATACATTTTCCGCAGAGGCGGGTCCAACGATTCGGCAACACCGGATTTTCTTCATTTAAACGTATGCTAAATAATCGATTCTTGTCGGAGCACCCGGCCCCTACGAGGATCGATACATTTCCATAGGTTTAAATGGAGAAAAGACAATGTTGCCAATTTGCTGGATCCGCCATTGATTTTTCGATCAAAACATAACTTATCGCCATCACTTCTACTTGGGTTACAGGATTCTGCACTGAATTTTTTAAAATTGTGACACGTTGATGGACATAAATGTGTTTGTTTTCTGCTTTCAGACTCCGAGTACGTGTACAGAGACCATGACGGCGGGCTCACCCTGTACAATGCAGCCACTGATACCAAGAAAGTGCTTATGACCAACTCAACTTTCGTAAGTTCCTCAATTGATTTCTTATGAAACTTAATTACTTAACTTTAAGCCTAGTGTGCGACCAGTTTTCCATTATTTTAAGTTCTAAGCTCAACTTTAATTGATTTGTGGATTCGTTTAACAGGGATAAAATGATATCCGTATTTAACTTTCCTCTCGATGCACACAAATAAATGCGACTTTTCCCAAGCACCAAGCGCGCGTTGGAGTCGCACTGCTTAGCGACCTCGGGGGCTCCCTAGTATTTTTTTCGTTTTCCGTGCGGAAAAACGTAACCACTTTTCAACGCTGCCAAGTGTCTTTCAGCAAATTGTACTTTTTCTTAAAAATTTTGGACCTATGTAAACGAAAATTCACTGATTCTTTCTTTGATCGCGTGCAAAAAGCAGCAAAATTTCGGAGTAAAACCGCGCCGTCCTATAGTTCCAAAAAATAAGACAGTTTGAGTAAATTTTCAGAATGGCAGAATAAAGCTACGTTCCTCAGTCCGGGAAACCACGTTTAGGGTTGCCGGCGATCCAGAAAACCTGGGAAGTCAGGACATTTGCGGCAAGTCTGGGAATTCGTTGGAAAAATGGAAACATGTATCAGAATGCTTAAATTCGTACCTTGTCTAGTGGTCCATTAGGGAATTTCACTATTAGCGTTTAGCTAAAGTGAAAACACACCAGGACCGGATTAAGGGGGTGACCACATGGGCCACGGCCCATGGCGGCAAATCTAGGAGGCGGCAAATTTTGCATTTTTTTTAAATGTAGGTATAAAAAAATCGGATTTAGAAAAAAATGACAAACAAAATCTCTCATTTACTGAGAGTATAGTAATTTCTAATTTTGTCGTCTTTCGATGATACAAGAGACAGCACCTACCTTTAATTAATCGAGTTAAGAGAGAGACCAAACACGCAATTTGGGCAGGAACGGCGCGACTGAGAGAGAAATGATGACGAGGACTTGAGATGAAAAGGAGAAGCCCTCGGCGCGGCGGTCGGCATGTAACACATATTAGCGCCTACATTCCTACAAGACTGCACTAATACTTCACGCATATTGCATCAAACACAGTGCGGTCACTGCGGTCAGCGTGAAACGGATAGCGCCTACAAGAATGCATGAATACTTTACGCATTACGCCAAACACAGTGCGGTCAGCGCAAAACGCATAGCACCTACAAGACTGCGTGAATACTTCACGCATCGCGCCAAACACAGTGCGTTCAGTAGCGGTCGTCGGCGTGAAATTCATAGCGCCTACAAAACTGTCGGAATACTTCACGGATTGCTCCAAACACGGTGCGGTCTGCGCAGCACGGCGGTGGAAGTTAAAATCATTAAACCACATTTATGTTTGTTCTTTCATAATTTTTTCGTTCATTTCTTATGAGTGGAAGGCCTTGTCCACGCAGAGATAGGTTTACGAAACTCAACGTTCGCGCAAAGTTCGGTGAATTTTTGCTAGTAGTGTTAACAGGGCTTTCCCAAAAAATGTTTCCAACACGAGTAAACGCGTCTTATGGACCGCACCCACGCTAGCACGTTCATTTGATGGTTTTTATTGATGTTTCAAAACGAATGAGAAGGGGGCGGCAAAATACAGGCGGCTCATGGGCGGCAAGTAGGCAAATCCGGCCCTGAAACACACTAGAAAAAAAGTAGCTCCGATTATTCCTTGAATCGAAGAGCCGAGCCTCTTGATTCAGGCGGATTACTTTTTGATCCAAGCAAAAAGTCCGATTGAATCAAGAGTATTTTTTCTTGTCAATGTTTTCAAGAGTCTGGATTCTAGATCCAAGCAACTTTTTTTTCCAGTGCAATTAAATGGAACAAATCCAGGCGGTGGTTTTGTTCGGAGGTCAGGGAAAGTCAGAGAATTCGAGAATTTCGAAGTCAGCGAATCGGAAAATGAAGAAATCACGGAGACCCTGCAGGTCGTGTACCGCGTGAACGACGACGCATTTCGTAAGTGAGAATTCGACGGCGAATCGAAACGAAAGGAACCGAAGCGATGAAAGTATTAGAGCATAAGAGAGAGGAGACGCGGTGCGGCGGGAGACTGAGAAAGATTAAAAAAAGTCAAGGGAAAATTGATCTGATAATAGGTTTCAATCTGCCGCGAACACAGGAGCCNGGGGGGGGGGGGGGCGCTGGTGAAACAAGCTGTAACTGAAAGTAGAGCGGCGGCGGGAGGAGGCAAGGCGCGGCGGCCACAAAAGCATAATATTTATTGCGTATTCGAATCAGCTTTTTATTGTTCGGACGACTTTCACCTCTCGTCTCTCCTTTTACCTTTTCACACTCTCCGCGAGGTTTCGCTCCTGACAAATTCGAGCCGATTTCCCGGAACGGCCCACGCCGACGCTCACTGAGGTCGCGTGGAGCGGGAAAAGGGATAACACTGCCGTGCTCCGGAAAAACGCCTATGAACCCACCGGATCTGTCGAATTTCCTTTGATAGAACACGAATTTATTGAGAAAGTTTCAAATATTTTCTTCCTAACTTTTTAGAAAATTTTCTTCGCGATTTAACCTAAAATATCTACAAACAAAGAAACATATGCATAACTTTCTTCCAAAGTGCATTGGGCACACGTCTTTCACCCACCAATACATGATCAAGAGAGTCCAACCCCCAACCTGCATCTCTTGTAATGTCCCTCTCTTAGTTAAACATGTTTTAATAACTTGCCCTACATATCAACAATTAAGATCCAAAATTTTCCCTCCACTTTCTGATCTTCATACCATCCTTTCAAAGTATTTTCGTGAAATCCCTCTCTTTTGCAAACGAATTAATCTCCAAATTTAATGTATTCTTTCCTTGTCCTAACTTTTAATTTTGTAATACCTTTTGTGACCCCTACTTTTTAAATTTTTAAATTCTGTACTATATTTTGATCTCTCCTCTAAGGTGTTAATGGCTCAATTGTTAACAGCACCAAATAAACGTATCTACCAACCAACCATTTTTTATCAGGAAAAGTTTGGCAAAATTCGAATGTTCATACGGCGTTGGTCCTTAGCATTGCAGAATGTAGGGTCGTATTCATTGTCGTGCCTTAAATCAGTTTCTCTTCTCATGAGACCTTTCATACATTATAATTTAACATATAATTACATTAATTGGACGTATTTGTGCCAAAAGGAACTATATGCATAGGGTTTGCGTGAAACACATAGTTCCTTTTAGCATAAATACGTCCAGTTGAGGGTAAGGAAGCTTTCAAAATAGCATCATAAAATTGACGGTTTTTGCTAACTCCGCGTAAAATTCAACGGTAAAGCTTTGAAAATGAGCCTTTGAAAAGGATTACTGTGATTTACCTCTGTAGAATATACAAAACACAAAAGAAAATATGTTTCGAGGTTTGTAAATAACGTTTTCAAAGTCTAAGGAACGACCATGATAATGATCCCCCTTCCTTGGCGCACTTGACAGAGAAGCAACTATTCGACCACCCCTGCATGGCACAGTATCACTCGGAATTGAAGGCGAAATAACCGCGCCAACTCACTAGGCAATGCCCTCAACCGTCAAATTCGCTAGATTTAAGGACGTCTTCATAGTCGTTGGCTCACACAGCTCCTTACATAGATATACAGCTCCTGCCCATGTGGTTTATATCCTAAAATTGAGGGAGGCTCAAGGGGATAATTGACATAACATCATAAAAAGGGCCAGTTTTGCTAACCTGGTACATAATTCAGAGCATTCACTTTTCCGAAAGGTATTAGCCAACTGAACTACATTTTGCAATTAGGAGCTATAAATTCTGGCCCAGTTTAAAAACAACGTATGTGCCATTAGTTTCCCCATGCTCATAAGTGTTTTCTCCTGATGAGCCAGAAATTGTAGTTCCGAATAGCAAAATGCAGTCCAACTATCGAGGACAGACACCTCAGCGTGCGACGCCGCGAGGACGGAAATTGATGACCGCGAAAGCAATTCGAGTCAAAGCTGGAATCGAAAGAGTTAAAACAGATCATGGACCCTGCTTTTAAGCGACAGTACGTGCGCCTGCCGTATGAAACAATGTGCCTACATTGTGTAGCAACGTAACCGCAACAGCGCAGTAAATCCCATTCAACTCTGCGGTGAGTGCGTCGCCACCCGGACGTAACCGCGTATCTCGGTCTCCACGTGAGCTCTGTCGTCCGCATAACTCCACGCTCTCCGCGGCTCATGATGAAATAGGGATACTACCTTGAGTCAGAAGAGCGACGCGTTACAGTTTCTCTCGAGCGTCCCTCGCGTGGCTTTTTGAATTTCGCTTTCCCGCGAGTGGGAGGGATTTTCCCGGGTTTATTGCCCATTATTGGCCGAGTGCTGCTCACCTGCGCTAGGGAAAACCTCGCATGGAGCCGCGGGCGTTGTGAAACTGCCCCCGGCGAGGAAGATCCCTGTGCTGCATGAGCTAATCGCCGATTTTGGCGGGAAAACCTACATTCTACGGTATTTTTTCGATTTTAGAGCATGGTGTCTGGCAGTGAGATAAACCATAGAAAGTCGGGAATCATTACGGAATGAAACATTTTATGGGAAATCAAGGAAAATCGGGGAATCCGTCCCAGGGAACCGGAAATCTCTTCGTCCGTCGCTTACATGGCATATTTGAATCTGGAAATCATGAGAATAATGGGGAAGACTGTATTGGCCAGGAGATATGAAGATCAGGAATGCTTTTGGGATTGAAAATTCGATTGGGCGTCAAAGAATCTTCTGAAAGATAAAAAAACTCTATAGCCATATTTGGAACAAATTGTTCATGCTTTTCCCGGGAAATCCCGGGGAAGTGGGCGAAAACTCCGGTTTCCAAAATTTCATTTCTGAAATTTTGCATCGTTCAATCTCAAGAGACGTGACGTTGAAAGTGTCTTTTGAATAAACATTTTCATGAGCATCACCTCAGAGAAGTTAGGCAATTTGGACAATCATATAACCCTATATTCGTATTCGATTTCGGTGTCACTGAAAAAGAAACAGTGAAAAGAGAAAGTAAAGAG